TTCTTGACATTGAGTCTCAGTCCATACTGAAGGCTGCAGTCCTTGAATTACTGTTAGAATTTATTATATAAAACACAGTGTTTCATAAAAAATTGCATTCTAAAAGTTACATAAAAATTGCTTTAAAAATGTATTTTTTTTTTCTGTAACTTAAGATTTTATTTTAGAAACTGAGCGCCATCCAGCTGAAATTGAGTAGGTTCAGCACAGTTTGATCCACCAGCTGTTCTGTGAAAGGAGGATGGGCAATTCCTCCTGTGCCATTTACTTCCTCTGAAAACCTGCTAGTGGGGCTGGCCAGCAATGGGTCGGTTCTCATACAAGAGCAAACAGCGTCAGTACGAAATTACATGACAAACTGCCCATCCTTCTGCCACAGAGCTGCTGGTAGATTTGAACCACATGCCTTTGGACTGTAGCACAGGTTCCCATTACTAGGCCACCAGAGCTTCCTAAACAAAGATAGACCAAGGATTTTTAAAGTTCTGCCTCTGGTAATGAAATAATATAAGAACACTTTTAAATATTCATAAAGCTTTTTTATGGGACATTTTTATCCCTAAGTATCTATGGGGATAAAGCATACACGTGTATGTATTATTAATGGTTATTTTTTAGTAATAATGACGGAGCTAACCTATGATACAAATTTTACATATTAGTATGCATCTCAATAATTCACAAAGCAATCCACAACAAAAGTACTACAGGTTAGAACAAATGCCTTGTCTAGATGAATAGTTCACAAAGAAAAAGTAAATACTGACATTTTTAAGGAATACTGCCCTTTAGTCATTTAATTCAATTTTAAAAGATCCTTATCTGGGTATATATCTCTGAACAAATACTAAGCTGTCTTTAATTCTCAACTACATGATTTATCAGTATAACAGTAACTTTTATAAAGTTATTTTAGAAGCTTATATGACACTGAACCCTTCAAAGAGCTAACAAAGGCAGGCCACATTAAAAAAACAAACCAACCAAAAACTGAGTTACCTATGTATGTGCAGTTAATTTAATCTGTGAATACAAAGAGAGGCAGAGATTCTCCTCATTTCTATTCTACTATTCCAGTGTTGTTGTAGGCCATCAAGTGCTGATGCTCCAGCAGGTTCTCAGGAGCAGTAAATCCCATAGGAGTTTACCTTCCTCATTTAAAGCATGTGCCTTTAAGTTGGCAGTACTGCTCTTTACCATTAGGTCACCAGAGCTTCCTAATGTTCCATGTTGTTGTGTACTGTAGTTGGAACTGACCCATAGCTGACCCTCTGGTGGGTTTCCAGAGGCAGTTAATTGCACAGGAAGAGACTGCCCATCCTCTTCCTGCAAAGCAGCTGGTGAATTTGAAGCACATGCATTTGAGATGGCAGCACAGCTTCTTGCCACTAGGCTACCAGAACTCCCTGATGTAGTCCACTAAATTAATACATCTGTGAACTTACCATTCTTACCTGACCATTGTTAGGATAATTCTCACTGTTCACATCAATAATTAGAAAAAGTAAGGAAATCTATGAAGCTGATTACATACTTATACATATTCCTGTATAAATGAGAACAATGCATTAAATTGCAGTCTTTCTTTATTCTCATTTATTTTACAAAGTTTGAGTACATTGTTTTTCACAAATATATCACAGTCTTGTAGTCCATTTGTTAGCATCTCCCATTATAAAAGTCAAGTAGCCCTGTGACACAATGATTTAAAACTTAATGTTGAGGAAAAGTTTGTTTCTATATATTCAAATTAATTATTGTTAAAGGTCATTGGACAGTACTGGAAGACATTTATAAGTCTTTTTTTTTTTTTAAAAAGTATTTTTAAATTAAACTTTATTTGTCCACTTTCTGCTGAGAAAACAGCTGCAAGAGAAATAACAGTTCTAATCTACCCATGATTACTCAGGAGAAAAAGTACTCTGGTAAAGATTTATAGCCCAGGAAACGCTACAAGGTAGTCTACTTAATGGCCAAAATCAGCATGCCAACCATATAATTTGAAATAATTTTCTTTATATACAATTTTTAAAACATACCTCCAAATCTTTCCAACATATTTTGTACTTCACCCCTGTGAAAAAATTACATTAAAGACTTTTCAGTAATGATACACTGTCACCCTGCCTGTTTCAGGAAAAAGAAAAAAAAAAAAACCAAACAAACCTACATGTAACAATTGTCTGTAACCAAAGTATAGTTTTCCAGTATTTTAAAGACAGTACTTTTTAAAAGAGTCACGATTTTAAACTCTTACCCCAAATCCTCTTCTGTTATTTCTGGGGAAGACCTTCTCTTCTTCCTACGCTTATCAATTACCAAAGTCTTTCCTGCATTGACAAGAAGAAAAGCATTTTAAAACTTGAGTATGGTCCCCTTTGGCGGTTTTTGTTTGCTTTTTAATTTTTTCACGTGGGGTCTCGGCTCTTTGTTTACCCACTGTTCTGGAACGTTGTTGTGCCGGAGTCAGAACCAACCCACACACAGCAGAGGCCGCAGGCTGTTCCTCTCTCCTGGGGCAGCTGTGGACTCGAACCCCAGGCCTTTGGGATGGCAGCCCGGCAGTTGGCCTCTCCCACACCCTGAGACTGCGCCACCCCCCACTGCGGGCCCACCCCGTCGTCGTGTTCCCCTCCCCCGCCCCGCGTGCACACCCCCCAGTACTGCAG